TCTGGTGAAAATTTCATGTCATTAGCACCTCTAGTAATATATTTACTGAGAAAAATGGTGACGTGTTCAATACTTATTTTACCCGCTATATATACGGCAGGTATTTTTTAAAAACATTGCTCAGTAAAACCGTCAGAATGTTAAGTTTTTGTTGTTGTTTGTTTGAATGTGCATTTTTGTCTCAGGTGCAGCAGGGAAGCCCCTCGTCCGTCAGTTCAGCCAACACAGAGCACTCCTTGTGCTTGATGAAGCCAGCGTCTCTTCACTTCCTCCACAAAGCCACTCAGGTACATCGTGCCCAAAACAAAACATTTAATTAATCACTGTAATCTGGATTAAAATGCTAGTAATGACATCTCGTTTTATGATATTTGTCAGTGGCTTTAAAGTATTCCTCATTAACAAACCAATTGTGCTCCCCTTCAGTCCGACCTGACTATAGAGAAACTAAGAGCGATGGAGAACAACAAGAACTCTGACCTGGAGAAGAAGGAAGGCCGGATAGATGATTTGCTGCGGGTACGAATCCTTTTACAATTCATCCCTGCCGCTCTGCCCTCCTTCTGTTTCTGTGTTTTTTTTTCTCATSATATTCTCTCTGTAACGATGTTTCACTGAAGAGCCGACATGTTAAACAAAATCAAATGTAACATTACAGTGAGGACTTTTCTTCCATTTTCTTCTGCAGGCAAACTGTGATCTGAGAAGACAAATCGATGAGCAGCAGAAGATGCTGGAGCGATACAAAGAACGGTTAAATAAGTGTGTGACCATGTCCAAGAAGCTGCTTATTGAAAAAGTAYGTTCGTCTTCCTGCAGTTTAATATTTTTAGGGTTATTCAGAGTGTTTGACTCTCTTTACTGTGCTTCTCAGTCCAAACAGGAAAAAATGGCGTGCCGCGATAAAAGCATGCAGGACAGGCTTCGACTGGGTCACTTTACCACTGTAAGGCACGGAGCGTCTTTCACCGAGCAGTGGACGGACGGATATGCATTTCAAAACCTTATCAAGTGAGAGCTTTTCTTCCTTTTAAAACCTGATTTTCATCTCATAAGAGCCAAACGCTTTCTCACGTTTTGACTTTGGGAGTGTGAAAGTCTGCGGCAAATCTTACCTCATTGATCCCYGACGTAATGCGATGTTTCCAGACAACAAGAGAGAATCAACTCTCAGCGAGAGGACATCGAAAGGCAGAGGAAGCTCCTGGCCAAACGCAAACCGCCTTCWATGGCCCAGACTCCACCGCCGAGCCTGGAGCAAAACAAACGCAAGAGCAAGACCAACGGAACAGAAAGCGAAGCGTACGAACGACACCTCTTTTTATTCTACTTTTTGTTTCATCCCTCCCTCACATACATGTTGAAAGCCACACTGAGWTTGCTTCAATTTTCTAACAGATTATCCCAGGCAGAGTACCATGAGCAGGAGGAAATCTTTAAACTCAGATTGGGATACCTTAAGAAGGTGATGCAGCTTGTGTTTACGGCRAACTTTGTTTCCAGACTGAACTGAGGTCTTTCTGGGGAAGTGTCTTTTTGTTGCTCAAATCCTGCTTTAATGTTGTTTTGCAGGAGGAGGCGGAGATCCAGGCAGAACTGGAGAGATTGGAGCGAGTCCGGAACCTTCACATACGTGAACTGAAAAGGATCCATAATGAAGATAATTCCCAGTATGACCTTTCTTTTTCTTTTCTTCTTTTCATGTCTTTTTCTTCATCCATTTCAGTGAAGGCTTTGAGTTTAAAATGATTTTGTGTTTTAGCTTTGTTAATCTAGTTTTTTACACCTGATGTCTAATGTGTATTCTTGGCTGCTTGTCGGTGTGAATGCTTTTGTTCAGACATGTTGTTCTTTGTAACAAATAAGGTAATGTKTCTTCAGACAGCTTTGGTAAAGTTACTGTTGTAATCAAGGTGACTGTTCAGGCACGAAACCGTCTCCAAAAATAGTTGTCAAGGGAACAGAAAGGCGTGCGCAACGAAAGTGACTTCTTGTCTTTCTGTTCTGAACTGTTCCCGTCCGTCTCTGTGCTCTAATGACTTCTTCATCTCGTTTTCTCCCTGCTAGATTTAAAGATCACCCGACGCTAAATGACAGATATCTGCTGCTCCATTTGCTCGGGCGAGGAGGTTTCAGTGAAGTGTACAAGGTGGGAATGAGCAGGGAAACACTTTTTTATTAAGTGATGAGCTGATGGATCATCGCCTTTTTTTTAATTCTTTTCTTGTCCAGTAAATTTTATTGCAAAATTCATTATAGTCTGGTGGCTTTAAGAGAACAACAGTATTTATGTTGTTTTTGAACATGCTAGTTGTGTGAACGCACAAACCTTGTTCAGCAATTTTTGTGCTATTTTAACRTATATCAAAACATCCAGCTCCTTCAGGATATTCTGACGTTTGATATTTCAGCTTTTTGTACTGTTTTTCACTTTTTCTGCCATTTTTCCCTCCATTGAAAATGAATGGAGCTGTTTTCAACATCCCTAAAATCCTTCAAAATGTTTCTAAATCTTTGCAGCACCTTACACCTTTTGTTCTGGTTCTTCTCTTTTTAACTTCCTTGAGCTAACTTTTAGCTTCTTTTTTTTGCTAACTTTAGCTTTTTTCTGCTATTTCAGCTAAAAGTCTGCTCCTGTCTGCTATTTTTGTGCTTCTTTTGGCCAATTTGAGCTGTTAATGCTAAACAGTTCTGCTATATTCAGCTATTTGCTGCAATTTTAGCTAAAGTTCAGCTGTTATTAACTAAAGTTAGCGTTTTTGAGCTAAATTCACATTTTCGTGGCTATTTCAGCTTCTTTCTGCTTAGTTCAGTAAGCTTGTGCTCCTTATCCTTTTCAGCTACACTTTAGCTGTTTTACTGCATTTATGCAATGTTTAAACTATTTTTAATTGTCAATTTTTTTGTACTTTTATTATTATTATTTTTATGCCAATTACACATTTTTATACCAGTTTCATCATCTGGGTGCTATTTTTAATTTGTGTCTGCTAYCTTTAGHTTGTTTTTATGCTAATTTTTAGGTTTTTTTCTGCTTTCTACTCTTTTTAGCTATTATTCTGCTGAGTTAAACATTTTTATTCTTGTTTCAGCTTCTCAAATTAAACTGTGTTTTGCTATTAAACCTTTTCAGCTCCATTTCAGCAGGTTTTTCAGCTAAAGTTTTCAGCACKAAGCGTTCACATTAGCATTTTCGCAGGAAATTCAAATTCTCTCGTTTGTTTTGCCTTTAATTATCTGTGATTATGATGTGAAAAATTTGACTTTGGCTAATTCTCATAGTGTCCGCTGTGCGTTCTTTACTGGTCTAAAGTTGACTTTTAACGTTTTGAGGTAAATCACTGAGCCAAAAAAAGTCGAGTTCCAAGAATCTGCTGTCACTGCAGTAAAAGTGATTAATGAACACGGCTGATTTATGTGAGGCAAGAGGCTTGCTTCAGCTAAAACCAAACAATGCCAAATACAGTTTCTATCTCACTGCAGACCTCCTCTTTTTATTTTTCAGGCCTTTGACTTAACRGAGCAAAGGTACGTCGCCGTTAAAATCCACCAGTTAAACAAGAACTGGAGGGAYGAGAAGAAGGAAAATTATCACAAGTGAGTGTTTTATGGTTTTTAACACAKCACCTTCACCGTGCTGGTGTTTGTCTTACCTGTCGTCAGATTTATGGTGTTTATAACGGAAACGTTTTGTTTTCTTTCCAGACATGCGTGCAGAGAATATAGAATCCATAAAGAGCTCGACCACCCACGAATAGTTAAACTCTACGACTACTTTTCACTTGACACTGACTCGTAAGTCATTCCACAATATATACTCACCCCCCGCTAAATCGAACTGAGGTCTTCTTTTATTTGTTCGGTTGGCTCGTTAGTTCTGTTTAACTGCAAGCGTTGAGGGTGATGATCCCGGTTTTCCGAGCAGGTTCTGCACGGTGCTGGAGTACTGCGAGGGCAACGACCTGGACTTCTACCTGAAGCAGCACAAACTCATGTCGGAGAAAGAGGGCCGCTCCATCATCATGCAGATCGTTAACGCCCTGAAGTACCTCAACGAGATCAGACCGCCTATCATCCACTACGACCTTAAACCTGGTGAGTCTTGGCTTTTCTCCGCCTCCAGTCTTTGCCCATCTGTGTTTTACACATTCATCTTTCTGCGATCTTGTCGGTGCTCATCAGTTTTAGTGTAAACTAGAACTAAAATGTTTGGGGTCTCAGGTAACATCCTGCTCGTAAACGGCACCGCCTGCGGGGAGATAAAGATCACAGACTTCGGCTTGTCCAAGATCATGGACGACGACAGCTACAACTCCGTAGACGGGATGGAGCTAACCTCACAGGGAGCGGGGACGTACTGGTGAGACGAGTGTGAACCACTCTTTGTGATTTGAACTGTAACAAACGCTGAAAACTCAACAGACACAAAGAAAATGATAATAAATAATATAAGTTCAGTGTTTTCGTACTGCCTGATTTGGATACTTTGAAATACCACATTTCACACGTTCTAAACCAAGTTGTGTTTTCTTCAGGTACCTGCCCCCCGAGTGCTTTGTGGTCGGCAAGGAGCCGCCGAAAATCTCCAATAAGGTCGACGTGTGGTCCGTGGGAGTCATTTTCTACCAGTGTTTGTACGGCCGCAAGGTAGGAGACCGACTGAAGCAAAGTACTGTGACCCAGTGTTGGAGGGGTCTCTGTGTTCTCAAGTTCTGTTGTGGCAAAAAGCGTAAAAAGCAATAAATTAAATTAAAAACTTCACTATCATCAAACTAGAACACCGGGTAGAAATTAAAAGTTCATCAAGAGCTAATCTTAAGTTTTAAATTTTGTCAAAGTTGTTTAAAAATTGGCTTTGGTTTTCAGATTTATGTCCATTTATTCAAGCAGATGTAGAAATGACCATTTTTCCCAAAATATAAAACATACAGAACAAAACGGATTGATTATAGAAAGAAATGCGACAAATGATTTCAGTAGCTTTCATTTATTTATAATTTGCACTCGACGTGTAGTTCATTAATTTTTTTATTGTTAAATTTTTTTTACAATCCATCATGTATACAAGAAAGAAAACAATTTTCAGCAGATTTTGGTTGCTGTGATGCACATTAGCTCAACAAACGCCTGACATTTTGGTGGAAGGAGGAGATCTGTTTAACGTCTTATGTTTGGACATTTATAAAAAGAAAAAAATAGTATAGGTCTTCTGGACGGGTTCTTCTCTAATGAAACGTTTCGTCTCTCCTCCAAGAG